AATGCCTTGGGCAGAAATCCAAGTTTGTTTAGCATGCGTTTTATTGCTGTTCAGTGTAAGATGACACTTTAGAACTGGTCAGCATCAACTTTAAGTTTAAGGATGAAGATTAAAGTGACCGGATGCATGGAACACTTCACTTACGTGGGGAGTTGCCTGAATCCAAATGGGTTGGTTGCTGACAAAATTTCAGCTCGGATACAAAAGGTATTTGCCAACTTACGCTACTAATGATTCTGGTCGTACATTATACTGTACGCTACTGTTGTGTATGTCTAGGAGAAATGGCTATTGAAAGTAGGAAATACAAAGAGATTACAGTTTTTACCTGAGGTATCTTCGTAACAATACTTGTGTGGGGCGGAATCACCGTGTAAGCGATATCGAGGTTAGGCAAAGCAAGTCAGTCGATAAGGTTATAGACCTTCACCAATTTCAGTGGGTTTGACATGTTACACATGGTGAACCACTGCTTACCTCGATGTGTAGTGTTGGCCGAAGTAGGCTTGGGTTGGAAGGAGTCTCCAAGTGGCATTAGTTCATGAAGTATTGGCCTGGTGATCTAAGCCATATAGGAAGGTGTAAACCGGATGGTTGGGGTCCTGGAGATAGCTGTAATCAAATGGCTAAAAGTCACTGACATTGTCACAAATTTATTCTAAAATCTGAACATTTTTGCTGATATTCGTTCTTTTAGATTCTATCTCCTCACATACACTTTTGTCTACTTTAATTTCCCTCCTTTGATATTCGTCCTTTAAAGCTACTGTAACTTGTAGCAACTTGAATCGATCAACTTCTGTGCGAGGTCCCATATTGATTTTGTCTGCCTGAGACTTGTTTTCCCTATCTATTGCCAAGTTGTTCTTACAGTACTGAAATGAGTCGCATTCATTCATCATTTCTTAAAGTCTTTTTTTCCACCCCTATAGTTACAGTAATAAGTTATGTTACCAATTTCATTGACTTATAATAAAGTACTTATGGCTGACAACTAAATCGGTGCATAAAAATTGTCACTTATTTTTCATGTTAGAATTCAGTTTCCAAATGAAAGAGAAATAGATTGAAATTTCCAAACCAACTATCATCGGTAAGCGCATCTCTTATTCCGTGTTTCTCGTGTTAAGTGTAATAATTGACTACAGATATGAAACCTCCCAAAAAAAGATTTAATTTACAATATGCTACCCTGCATCTTTGATTTTCATCAATTCATACTAACTTTAGGTGCAATTTTACTGGCACTAGTAGAATTTGACTGGGGTACTACTACTGCCTTTCCTTCTTGAAAAATAAATTTAGGAGATAAATTAGAAAGAAAAATATTTTTAGATTAATTTTACCACAATATTTTGTACAAGAGAACTGAGCAAAGGATACATCTATGATGGTGTTCGATACTCTAGATAGTTTCAACTCATTTCAAACTACGAGTATACTACGCTGATGTTCACTGTATCTTTTCATACAGCTGTGACACATGGTCATTGAAAGTAGAAAATATGAAGCGATTACTGGGTTTTGATCGTAGATGTCTTCATAGCATTCCTCATGTTTGTTGAAATCCCCGTGTGACTTATGTTGAAGGTCACGTGAAGGGTACTAGGCAAGATAAGCAGATTGATTGGTGAGGTTGTGAACCTTCATCGACTTAGATGGCTTGGACATGTACTGCGCATACTGAACGAGCCACCACCTACCTCGACGTCCAATGTTAGGGGATGTTGGATTATATTGGGAGATGGTTCAGGGTGGCCAGACCAAGGCATGCAACTTGTTAATGAAGTCCCTAGCTGTTTCTCTGAGTCATGTGGGGAGATATAGACTGCTCGGTTGGAGTCCCAAGACGATAGGAATCTGCGGTTGAGACCTCGATGAAATCCTTGGACATTGGTCTCAGTGGAGTATTCATCTTCTGAAGCTTCAATATTCTTACTAACCGTTATCTTCAAATTTTCTGTTCTTTCATACAACTTTTTCTACTTCGATATGACTCTTTCTCTATCCATCTGTTCTTTATGTACTACTGTGTAGTGTAGCAACTTGAACCAATGTGTCTATGTGCCAGGTTCTACGTTGTTGTTTTTCTTTCAGTCAGTCAGTCAGTCATTTCGGTGAACATTTTCTACCGTCAGTTTGTGTTTCCCAGCAGCTGCAGCTCTAATCCCCTTGGCAACTTAGGCATGAAATTGAAGTAAAAGTCACTTGGATATGGCAAATATACGCGTGGTAGAAATGATTGAATTTAAGAGTAACATCATTTAAGCAAACACCCATTATTTGTATTAAATAGCTATTATCATGTGCATATATAATCTGTTAGAATTCAGTGAAATCATCTTACTCATTGTTTCATATACGTTTTTTCGTTATACTGAATTTTCTGCATAACTATAAAACCTCGGCGAAAAATGTACTTGTGTGTATTTGTGTATGTTTTATGCTTAGAACTAAATGGAGTTTATGGTAAAACAGTTTGTTGTAATGTTTAGCACTTATTATCTTTTGTGCACTAAAAAGGAGGAAATTCTGCTCACAATGGCTATCAAATACATCCCATTTTGAGGGGGTTTTCATGGCGAACTGACATCAGTTAGAGAAACATTGAAAACCTGTAAGTGCTAGACAGCTGTTTTCAATCCTAGCATGAGACTCCTCACCAATAAGCACACATGACTTCGACTGGGCTCGGACTCAGGACCTCCAGGCTTTGTGCCTGGGGTACGTCACCATCTGAGTCACTGAGGCGGAATCTAACCCTTTACACTTTCCGAATTCTGTTAATTCGCGATATATCACAACCATCATCCAATGCCATCGTTGAGTATCTGTTCTCATGTAGGAATTTGTTTGCTTCACTGGTCATGACTTATTACAGCTTCGAGAAATCTCATTTTGAAGCATGTCACTAATGAGCACTGGATTGAAATTCAGTTTCCAGGCAAACTTAGTCGGACTAGGGATTGGATGATGGTCGTGCTAGAGCGTGAATTGATAAACGTAGAAAACTTTGTACTGTTGGATCCCAACTCAGTGGCTCACTAGTGACGGGCTCTCCACGAAACCTGAAGGTCCTGGGTTCGATCCCTCTCAGGGACATGGGTGGCAATTAGGAAGAAACACCTGACCAGTGCTCCCAGGTTTTCGGTGATTCTCCCACTGATACCATTTCGGGGTTGAAATCCACCTTGAAATCAATAAATTCCCAAAAGCCCAACTACTCTGCAACTCATTTTCCGCTAATCTGCGTTATCCTTCAGACACCATACAAATTGGCATCTATCATCGATACCTAGCTCATTGAAATCATACTTCGAATTCTAATGTTGTCAGAAACACATATAAGACAAGCAATAGTAATTCCCTATACATTCTGGATGTGTTCATGTTTTTTCTGCTAAAACTTTTCATATCTTATTTAATTTGTGATAACATGATTTCGAATACCGGATAGAGAGTTCAGTCTCCAAATATTTACCTCTTGACATCTTCAACTTTCAAACCTTTTTATTATCCATGAAAAAAAGGAAAGAAGTTAAGTGAATCGAAATGGTTTAAAGGATTAAGAATTCACTCTGTCTAAATCTTGAGTAACGTTTTCTAAGGTGTTTTGTAAACTATAGTCTCTGAAGTAGGTTTCCAAATTCTGTCCTCCTTCACACTCATCTTATCCTCACTGTAATATTCATCTTGAACACGTTATGAATGATGTCTCTTTTCTGTCACACACCCTAATAATTGTAATCATCCATTCACTGGTTTAGTTTATTTCTGTGTATAATGATGATTTAAATTATTTGCTTAGAAAACAGAAATAAAACAATACTAGATGAATAAAAGTTGTGTAAAACATTTTTTTTTTCCACTTTTTGTGAATTAATTACTCTAGCATTTAGAAAAGTTGTGGCTTACACATTGAACAAGTGTACTTAAATAGTAACATTGTAGTATTTAGAGATGAATATGAGTTGTTTTCATAAACTATTCGTTTCAACTAAACCAAGCAACACTTAAAATTAAAAGAAATTGTTCAACAACTGTAGTGGTAACATAGTTTTTTGTTAGAAACAATGCAATCAACTTAACATCAGAGCGAATACAACTCTAGAGTCTGTTGTCATTGTCCGATGTAAGATACCAGTGTATCGATTAAAAATGCATGCTAAATCTTACAATAGTGCTGTTTTAGCTTTGATCTCCAATCACCAGGTTCAGTGACACCATCCGTACTATCTTCATATTGGATTGAGGGATGCTTAAATAGATCTTTAGGCAGTGAATGTTATCGAATTATAAGTGTGAGAGGGGTTGGGGGTGAAAAAGACTTTGGTCACATATTGACTTCCTTTACCTTAAGTTTTACTAGATTAGACCAAGACTCTGTGCCTTTCATCATTATCAGCTTACTTCATCTTCGACTTACTTAGTCAGTTTCCACTTATATCATGGATGATTCTTCTCTACCTAAATAGACTATGGATTCAACTATCCCTGTTGATTACTATGTCGTCTGTGTATCAACTAGGCTTTTGTTATCACTACTTTGTTTAGAAACAAAAGTGTTTCGTAAGTTCAGGAATAAATGTGTCAGGGCAACAAAGACTTCATAAAATTGTGTCCACTCTAAAAGGCGGTAAAATGAGAATCCTGCAATGCTTAAAATTGAGTTCATTAACAAATTTCACATCATGTGATTAGAACAAAACGTGATAAAAAATTTTTACTGAACATTTGCATTTCGTGATCTTTCACTCAATAATATAGACGAAAAAAGCAACACGTTAAATCCTTCCTTAAGTAATAGTATGGTTTATCGTAGTAGTAATTATTATTACTATTATTACTATTACTATTATTATTATTATTATGACCTTTATAATAATAAGTGAATTGAAAACTAAGTTAAATTCTTTTTCAGCTATTTGTATTAGAGTAAAGCCTGAAGAAGATTGAATTGAAAACAATATTATTCGCTTATTTGTCTTGTTCTTTTTCAGTTATCATTTCGACCAACTGTTGAAGAGCTTCGTCGGCGTAAAATCATTCGTTTAATGATTATGTTGAAGTCAGTGAAGCAGATGCCTATGATCGTCGAGCAGACAAACCGTGGACTCGTTTGACTTTGCGTGATAAAGTAAGATTTAATTAATGTGAAAAACTAAAAATTTTCAATTGAACACTCACTGCATCTTCAGTAGGAAATTTATTCTGCAATATGCATGGTGTGTAGACTATTTTCACAAGCTGTAAATAATAAGAAGTCTCAGACAAAAATTTCATGAAATTACACTCTAACGAACTTTCATCATTTTTATCTTACTCCTCCGTGATAGGGGGGGGACTCTAAACTTTCAGCATGATTGCCTCTGGTCTCAATTTTGAACTGTATTGTATGATGTCTTGGTTCGCTGAGTAGCATGCTCTTTTGGACGCACACGGAGTCTCCGTGCATCAATCGATATTCATTCAACAGAAATATCCTTCAACGTCATATCATTGGTTGAAAACTTCTACCAATCATTTTCACACTTGGTACATAATGAACACTACAGAAACCACTAAAACAACATAAGTGGCGTTTATGTGAACTGCTGATGACTTTTTTCGAAGACGACTTTATTTTCGAAAGTATCAGAGATTATATTGATCGGCATATCCCGTGACTCATTGGTCTCTACACTCAACTTTCAACTTGTTCGTCAAGAGGTCGATACCTGTTTCATTTACTAAGTTTTGGGCATTCAGGCGGTCCTCATACAGTAGATTGTTTAATCCACGGATCTATGCGGATTCAGTGACTTACACTGAGTTCTGACATTCAACCTATGGCGAGAGACCTTATCTGTCACAGCTTTTGAAGTAGTCATGCATCCACCCAGCTACACAAACTTTTCAACTATTTCTAGCAGTCCACCGTCAAGGACGAGTGCAAACTCAGGCTCTTGCAAATTTCATGAGTGTACTTTTTGGTGCGAAATACTTACCATGCTTAAGGACACTGATCGCTAAGCGATTGGCTGCAGATTTGAGTGGCCTGCATTTTGTCGTACAGTAAGATGATATCGTCCACGTACAAAAAGTGGGTAATGCTTCCTGGGGTCGATGGAGAATATTTGTAACTCAGGTGGATGATCTTGGTTGTATTGTGTTCTCTGAGCTGGGTTGTTTATTCGTTGAGCTTTCATATTGAAGTTATTGCTCATATCGTCTAGAAAGACGATGAAAGCTCTACGATTAAACAACCCATCTCAGAGAACACAATACAACCAAGCTTACTGTGGTTACAAGCTGATGCTACCACCACGCACCTTGTTATTGGCTGTTTCAAGAGCGTTGTCGAAGTTACGGAGGAATGGTGAGGTCGGACAACTTACTTGACCTCACTCCCGAAGAATAGTTGGTACCTTGACGTGGTGACCGAGCTTGTAAATCACAGTGACCCAAGGAGCTATACTAATGGAACGCTTGTTCCCTCTACATTCTGCCATACCAGAAAATCTGCTGGATGGTGATTAGACAGAGAGCAGTTTCCATTATGGTATAAATTGCTGCAATATGACTGCCATGAGATGGCGAAGTCCTACCACTGGCTGGATGGGGTTTGACAACAGTAAGGTGTTTCCCTTGGATAACTAGCAGTGCCATGCTGATACTACCTTCCTATGGGAAGTTGGGGTTAGAAAAAATCGACCCTTAAAATAGCACACTGTCATCACCCTGTGGCATGCTAGTGCTTGCGATATGGGTAAGTAGTCAGATTGGAAAGCAAAAAGCGAAAACCTCAAATTTGAAAAAGGCCGTATGTGACCAGCTTCAAGCCGGTGTGCCTTGGGCTCTGTGGTCACACACTAAACCTTTCTCAGGTACCTCAAGAAGACCTAGCCTCCCACAGTGTGGGCACCCGAAAAAGTCAACTGCCCTCATACCCCTCAACAATCAAGCTCCTTCATATCGCTGTTCACCTTCCATACCCCTACTTTGTAATCTTTCTTCACGTCTCTCAGTCAACTATCCTGCATTTTTATTCTTCCCCTGCTCTGCAGTTCTCGAAAACGATCTTAATTCACAGAACAGCACGCTTGTTCTCCTGAAACCGCGCTCCAAATTACACATTGGAGCTTTCAACGCCCACACCCTTCAAGTTGATCAACAAGCTTAACTAGCCCAAACTCTAGCAACTCGGGCCATGAATGTATGGTATGTTTGTGTGCTGTCCAAATGAATGGCACGGTGAGAACTAAAGAGAACTGTATAACTCGCCGTTGTTTCTTTGTAATCTCTCCTTATGCACCCACTGACTGCAGTTCAGACTAAGTGAAGAAAGAGTTCTCCTGTAAGCTGTTTAGCCCCCCTACTGAACTGGAAGTTAAACATTCATATGTCGATTTTGTACCGAACAACTCCTAAGCATAGGTAAGCAGGCTAAGTCAGGCAGGATGGCACTTAGATGGCCTTTTCCGACTCCCAGCGGAACAACCAAATAACGGTGATCGCCCGCTACAACTGTGCTCAGACAATCATTTATTTCTAATCAGCAAAAACTTCAGAAATGAACAGAGGCATTTTCTAACGTGGCATCCACTGGTCTGAAACCAACGGTGGACACAGACACACCACATTGCCATCAGTCATGACTGCAGAGGTTCGTTCTGAAACACGTGTTTGCATAGCGACCTTACTTTGGTTCAAGCGCGTATATATGTGCGTTTCAATTGACGCATGAAAACTTTAGCAACAAAATCATTGCGATTGCTCCTTGCAGTAACAAACAATCTAGAAAGTCGTCGGAGCGGTGCAATATCACTCAACCAGAAGGAGCTTGGTGCCATCTACAGTCTCCTGTATAAACAGCGATAAAGACCATAGCCACCTCTAAAAAAGTGGTTCGAAACAACCAGTAGATATCAGCAACATCTCAATTCATACAAACACAACAATGCTTCCCTGTAAACTCCAGAAACAATGAGGAGTGTAAGCAACTCAAATGGAAACTGACAAGAACGTCTACGCAATGACTGTGAACAGTGGTAGGCAACGAAGGCAAACGACATGAAAATGCAGTGGCGATAGGTAACAGGTTTAACAAGGAGACTTCGGTGAAAAGGTTGGTGGTTAGGGAGACAATAACGGAGAGGAATGAGTCTGTGATTCACTCCGAGAAGAGACGACTGGAACGGTGGGTGGAACACTTCGAGGAACAGTTCACCTGGTCTCCTGTTAATATTCCGTTGTCGTCTATTCAGTTGGAGCCTAAATGGAACATCGAAATAGAAGCTAAAACACTTGCAGAAGTCGATAAAGCTGTAAGTGACCTTAAACAAGGAACAGTTCCATCACCAGATGCACTAGCACGAGGTGTATTTAAGGAAGGTGGTCAAATATTATTGATCAAACTAACTGAACATGTTAACCACTGTATTGGATTCGGAGATGATCCACCGTCGCTGATCTCAATCACTGATTGCCCCGGTCCTCAAGCAAGGGGAGACGTCCTCCTACGTACGATAGCCACTGGAAGTCAGTCTAATGAACATTGTGTCTAAGATTCTAGGTTCTATGATCATTAGGTATCTGGATGTGGAGATCTGAAACAACAAACCTGGGCAAGCGGGAAAACTTCATACCTGGCCATGAATGTATCGACCAGATATTCTTCAACACAGGTACACTTACTGACACCCAACACTGGCAGTATATTTTGATCAGAGGACAACATTTGACTCTGTCAATTGAGAGATCGTATGGTAAGATCTGTCACTGGAAAGGATGCCGAGTAACAACATCAGTCTGTTGAAGACTCTGTACTCGAACACACACTGACGTGCTGGAGCCTACAGTGGGGTTATGAGGTGGTCCGTGTATATCATGTGGTATCTGTGAAGTGTTTATACTCCCCATTCCTGTTCAATTTTATCATAGACGTTCATGTAGAGTTCTCCCCATTGTCAACTATCTTTTCAATGGGTGATCTTAAAAGCAGTAGAATCCTCAACAAATTTAGAATCCGCAGGTGATATAGTCGTCTTAGATGAAGACGCTGCCAAAATGCAGAGTCTTCTGGACACCTTGAGTGGGAATAAATGAATGTTTCGGATGCATTTGTCACCATCCAAATGCAAATTATTGCTCCAGGACTGGTCTTCAGCGATGCCTTGGCTAACAATAGGGAGTGAAGTCATTGAGTGTATTTAACGCTCTGCTTACCTAGGAAGTCCGATCAGACCTGGTGAGTCAGTAGGGGACGAGATCTCTGCACGGATGCAAAAGTCTCGGTTAGCTTTCTCTAAATTACGCTTTTCATGGTGCCACTGCGATATCCGATTTGTCTATTAAGGGTTGAGTGTACTGTGCTGTCGTCCGCTCTTTTCGACTGTATAGCTGTGAAATATGGCCATTAAAGGTGGAAGACATGAGAAGGCTTCTGGTCTGTGACCACTGTTCCTTCGTAGTTTCTTGATATTGTGCTGCGTCTGGTTGCCAGGTGTTAAATCGAGATATCTTCGTGCTTATTATACACTTTAGACAATTCAATTTGATATGTTATTCCTGAAACTTCTGTACTTTTGGTCAGTCAAATGAGGCATCTTTTGACTACCATAGTAGTCTGAATTTATGAACCTTCATATTAATTTATTTTCCTGACTTCGAGTCTCATTCAACGTCGACATACAATGCAACTGTCCTACAAAACCTAAACAATGTAGCTTTTGTTTGTGGCCTAGATGGTTAAGCTGGTAATGCACATGTTTGTGGGCATTAAATCCTGGAAGTTTTGATGAAATAGAAAGTATGTCATGCGTTTTCAACAGCCTAGGAAGGTTGTATAGGTCAGTTGTGTCACGTTATAAAAAGTCTATTCTATGTATCGGACATTTTAACTATCTGGACAATACAACAGGTTATTTCAGCATTGTAAAGTACTATAATCAGTCTTGGTCGCATCTTTTCATGAATAGTGTGATCGTGATATGATCGTGAGCCGTAAACTACAAGGGATTTCTACGACACTGTCTAGGCTTTACTGCTTCACAAAACTACAAGAGTGTAACATTCTTATTAAGTGTTAAACATGCCTGGCCTACATGTTGATCTGGCTGGTTCGTTTCTTGTTTCATTATAACCACACGCATTATAACCAATTGATGATCCGTTTTACAATTAATATTCTAGTGCATTATGCTAATACATTATCTTTTATCGGTCTTAATTTATACAGGCTGACATAAGGAAAGAACTGAATGAATTTAAAGCAACTGAAATGGATGTTCATGCTGAAAGCCGCCATTACACCCGGTTAGTATTTACTTACTTTTAAGCAACTTCGATAGTTTATCATATATTATACAAAATTTTATACTAGCTAAAACTGAACTACCATAGCAGACACATGACCTTTAAGATTCTGAGTTAAACGTCAATTGATAGTTGTAATGCGGACAAATAAGAAAATGGAACTGAAAAAAAACTAGCCAGTGTCTTGTTCAGCTATATGTGAAGTTATCCACATAGCTCCGGAAACAATGAGTGTAAGCAACTCAAATGGAAACTGACAAGAACGTCTACGCAATGACTGTGAACAGTGGTAGGCAACGAAGGCAAACGACATGAAAAATGCAGTGGCGATAGGTAACAGGTTTAACAAGGAGACTTCGGTGAAAAGGTTGGTGGTTAGGGAGACAATAACGGAGAGGAATGAGTCTGTGATTCACTCCGAGAAGAGACGACTGGAACGGTGGGTGGAACACTTCGAGGAACAGTTCACCTGGTCTCCTGTTAATATTCCGTTGTCGTCTATTCAGTTGGAGCCTAAATGGAACATCGAAATAGAAGCTAAAACACTTGCAGAGGTCGACATTGAGGTCTCTGCTGGTTGATACGAGTAAACAAACTTATTATGCAATGCAGCCGTGCATTAAGAATACCATAGGAATCTCATGACATTCAGTTCCCTCAACAAATTTGAACAAAGAGAAAAACAAATGAAATTAGCAAAACAAAAATGCTCATACTTTATTTCATGGATTCTTATTGCCTGAAATTAAAAGGTATCATAACCAACAATAAATATTGAACATACTTTAACTGTTATAGGCAAAGACCAAGTTCTAAATTCACACAGTACACTAAGAGATATATAAAATGCAGTGACAAGATACCAGCATATTATTTTAAATAAGAGTGTCTATATACACATATTAAATGACAAAAGGTGCCGGAAGGTCAGGAAAAAATGAACCAATTATATAACACTGAAGCATTCAGTCAGTCTAGAAAAGATTGCCATGGGTCCTGTCATTAGCGCGAAACAGTTCATGTTACCACACCTCATATCAGTACATCAAAGAAGAAGGTATTAGGATGAAGTAATCAAAAATGGTTGTAAGTCATGAAATGACAACAGGAATGAATGAGGCATTAACCGAATTTGGTGCGATGGTTAGGATAAAGACAATGAGTTTAGACATCTGATCCATTGCAGTTGATTTTGAGCCATATAACTGAGTTTGATTGCTACACGGACCATAACCGAGAAGTCAATTTTTTTCTAAACGGCTAAGACTAATAGTCAAGAACTTCATACACTGTTGCCATCTTTTAGTTCGATCACCTCTAACCTTTTCTGGTCTAAGACTTCATGTAACATTGTGTAATGGGACAGACAGCGACTAGGCATGCGTAACTCATTTACCCAGCCATCTCAGTCGATGAAAGTTTACAACCTCGTCGACTGACTGTCCTTTTCTCCCTTAAACTGTACACCTGACTTTTGCGTTTCTGACGTGGTGATGTCATGATACGACCTATTCTACAACGGCAAAAATGGCAGAGTCCATAAAGCCTTCTCATGTCGTCTACGTTTGATGGCCTTGCTTCATATCTCTATGAGAGAACAGATCGTACTGTAGCGCAGTACACTTGACTCTAATTAGGCAGTCAAATACTACGGCGGCGCCACACAGTGTAGTTTGACAAAAATCAGTTGAGTCTTTTGTATCTGTGCAGTGATTTGGTCGGCCACTGAGCCACCAGAGCTGATCCGGCTTTTCATGTAATGAACTGTCCGGTACGCATTCAATCACTTCAATCTGCATTGTTAGCCAGTGAACCGCTGAAGAGCAGTCCTGGAGCAGTAATTTGCATTTAAATGGTGAGAAATACATCCGAATCATCACTGAAAGTGTCCAGAATTCTCTACATCTTCACCTAAAGAAACTATGTCATCTGCATACTCTAGGCCTACAGCAAAGATTCTCCTGTGACAGATCAATCCCTGTGAAATCAGAGAACGAGAGACAGATCTCCATCAGCACGTCCATAACGAAACTCATAACGAATGGATAGAGTGTAGGACTTTGACAGCCATAACTCGACGTACATAACTCACTTGATAACTCACCATAAGCCATAAAACACCCACGAGTGTTCGAGTACAGAGTCTTCAATAGACTGATGCTGTTACTCGGCATCCTTTCCAGTGACAGACCTTACCATACGATCTCTCAATTGACAGAGTCAAATGTTGTCCTCTGATCAAAATATACTGCCAGTGTTGGGTGTCAGTGAGTGTACCTGTGTTGAAGAATATCTGGTCGATACATTCATGGCCAGGTATGAAGTTTTCCCGCTTGCCCAGGTTTGTTGTTTCAGATCTCCACATCCAGATACCTAATGATCATAGAACCTAGAATCTTAGACACAATGTTCATTAGACTGACTTCCCAGTGGCTATCGTACGTAGGAGGACGTCTCCCCTTGCTTGAGGACCGGGGCAATCAGTGATTGAGATCAGCGACGGTGGATCATCTCCGAATCCAATACAGTGGTTAACATGTTCAGTTAGTTTGATCAATAATATTTGACCACCTTCTTTAAATACACCTCGTACTAGTGCATCTGGTGATGGAACTGTTCCTTGTTTAAGGTCACTTACAGCTTTATCGACTTCTGCAAGTGTTTTAGCTTCTATTTCGATGTTCCATTTAGGCTCCAACTGAATAGACGACAACGGAATATTAACAGGAGACCAGGTGAACTGTTCCTCGAAGTGTTCCACCCACCGTTCCAGTCGTCTCTTCTCGGAGTGAATCACAGACTCATTCCTCTCCGTTATTGTCTCCCTAACACCAACCTTTTCACCGAAGTCTCCTTGTTAAACCTGTTACCTATCGCCACTGCATTTTTCATGTCGTTTGCCTTCGTTGCCTACCACTGTTCACAGTCATTGCGTAGACGTTCTTGTCAGTTTCCATTTGAGTTGCTTACACTCCTCATTGTTTCTGGAGTTTACAGGGAAGCATTGTTGTGCTTGTATGAATTGAGATGTTGCTGATATCTACTGGTTGTTTCGAACCACTTTTTTAGAGGTGGCTGTGGTCGTGATGGTCTTGTTGCTATAGTTTGTCTGCGTTCTACATTCTTGAGTGGCGGCAGCCAACGTACTTAACTCACACTTTGCTCTAACTCAAACTCTGGTGTCGAAATACAATGCCTGCAAAACATGATGTGTTTATCTAGCACATTACTATATAGCACCTCGATTGATTGGTTCGAACTCTGCCTTCAGTTGGCGATTTGTGTAGGGTCGGCCGCCAACTAGTTTACCTGTGCCTCGAAGTCTGTTGATGGATGAATATCTGGTCGAAACATGTACACCTAGGTTTGAAACTTGTTTGGTTTTTTCGCGGTTGCAGTTCCGGTGCTTCACTTAGGCATCTAATAATTACAGAAACTATAATGTTGAATGTTGTTCATCAGGTGACTCCTTTGTGGTTGTCTTCTTTTTAATGACTTGGATGAGTGATTGAGATCACTCAGAGAGTAACACATCTAGTCCCCATATGCTAGCTAGCATTTCAGTTAACGTGAAAAATAATGCGGGACCACCGTCCTTAAATACATCTGACCCTACCTCATCTGTTATCCCTCGTTTCAGGTTACTTACAATCTTTCCAAGTTTAGCCAGAGTTGGAAGTCCTACGCCAGTGTTCGGTTCAAAATGTGACTGGGTAGTAGGCAACTGAAAACTAACTTCAGGAGAGTTTAATTGTTCCTCAAACCTTCTACCCTTCATTCCAGTCGTTTACCCTGCGAGTACCTCGCGAGCCCATCCTTCTCCCTTGTTACCTTTCTAATTATTCACGTTTCTGCCCGCGTTATTCGAACAGCCCCAATAACTTTGAATTTGAACTGGCCAAAAATAGATGGTTGTCTGAGCACAGTTCGTTCGGCTGGAATTCCAAAAGTGCTACCTAAGTACATTTGGACCAACTTAGCCCACTCTCTTAAGCATTGAAATCACCTACTAAGACAACCACATCTAAGTTTTTAGCTTTTAGTAGGGGACTGAAATGTTTACGGTAGAACTTATCTGAACCTCAGTCAATGGACGCGTTAGCAGAGACTATAAAGAGACAGCGGTGAGTTTTGCTATTCTTTATGGTCCTCAATTCACCATTAAGTTGAACAGCACGTAAGTGACTATCAGCTAAGATCTAGTTGAGCAGTGTACTTTCTGCCTCATCAAATAATGCCTATACCCATATCTGTAAGACTGTAAGAACTGGCTGTCGAATCTCCAGAAACTTTATGGGTGACTTGCACTTCCACCGATCTGGCTGTATACAAGAACAAGCCCACTTTAGTCGTGTATTTTTTCTTAAAGAGTACAACATTCATAGCGTGTGGTGTCAGAGTTTTGCCTAGTGAAGCTTGTTTGCCAATATGACGGATAGAACTGTCATTGAAAGCTCCAATATTTAGTTTGCAGCACGGTTTGAGGAGACCAAGAGTACTATTCTATGAGTTTGAACTGTTATCGAGTATTGTAGCGTTGGATGATTGAGCGACATCAAGATTAGGAGGTACACATGTAGACTATTGATAATTATCTGACGGAACTGAGATCCTGATATAGCTTATGAGATTGATTGATACTTCACGGATATCTACCCCATGAAAGGTTACTTCCTCTTGAGGTACCTGAAACAAGAAATTGTATTATCAATAGTGGTGCGTGGCCACAGAGCCCATGAAACACGTACTTGTTTTGAATCCTCATTTCATGACGAACTTATGAGATATCCATTTTACTGAAGATTATTTCCACTGCTCGTGAATTCTTCCTCAAGCTTGTTTCTTGAAATTAACACTAATGAAGTATCTTGATCAGACTATGATGTTCCCAAGTACTGACCGATTCGCGTGTCATTTCTTTAAATAATTTTTCTCACTTAGAGGTCTAGTAAGTTGAACTGGTTACTATGCTCATAAGCTTTTCAAACAGCTGAGATGGATTACTCATATCATCAGAGACAAGAAATGTTTCGTCAACATACCTGTGATAGTATGATCTCCTCCACCTCTTGGTTTCCGTAGTTTTTTTTCAAGGTTACCGATGAAGACAACGATTAACCCATCGCCACTCCATCAGTTTACCGGTACAGTTTACTGTTAAATAGAAACTGAACACTCTTAGGGCTTCAGTAGTATGTCTCCAGTGCACTCTGTTCTCTGCAAACTTCTGAACCTGGCTCCACGATTGCCCACAAGCTCTCATTTCTTCCTCACACGATCTCCTCCATGTCACCCTCGGCACCGACGCCCAACTCTTCGTCTCCCATCTGGGTTCCACTCGGGGACCTGGCCTGACGCGTGATGTTCCCAGTCGGCGTTCTCAGTGTATGTCCAATCCAATCCATCTTCACTTTCTTCCGCATGTTTGTTGGGCGATAGGTTGTTAGTTGGTTCGTTGCCAGCCAACCGGAGTTCCTTGTTGCATATTCTTATTATTCCCACCACCTGATATTGAGTATTGAGTGAGGGTAGGCGGCAGTTGTTGATGAATGTCAGTAGTTTGTTGGAAATCCTTTCGTAACGCGTGAAGTCTCTGAACCATCACATGGAAGCACTGACTTGACTTGACATTAGTGTTGAAAATCCGGATTTTGTTCTTTATGCTGGGTGCAGTAAATCTCTACACACGGAGAAAAAGTTTATCTCAATTCCTTTCCTATGAGATGGAGAAGTTTAAACTGTTAACATATAATTTCGACGGTGAACACTGAACAGATGTCATAAGATACCGAAAGTTCATCTTAAATGTTCACACGATTTAGTTTATAGGAGCATTTAAATGCGCTTATCAGATTATGTACTGCAGAACTCCTTCGAATGAGTTCCAACGTTTGTGCTAAGCATCGAGTCATGACATGGTGAATTTACCACTAACATTATAAGGTGTATTCAACTTATAAACATTTAGATAGAACATACATAATCCGCATGCGTAACCCTCGTGGTTTCAGATCATTATAAGTTAAGTTGTAAATTAACCCTATCTTCAGTAGTAGTTCAATTAGATATCTGATTACCTTGTCTCAACAGTCATTGTTGTGTCGTTTTTTAGATATGTCAACTTGCAATCCCAGCGTATCATTTATAACTATTGATATCTTCAAATGATAATCGTACCTGTTTAGTATAGTAAAACTGCCTACTTTACTAAATAGCTTAGACCAGCAAGCGGTAAAACATTTACAGAACAGTGACGAAACCGTCATATACTGGGTAGATGGTGAAATATAGTATTCAATTTCAATATCAACCAACCAATTTCTTTTATCTTCATCTATGGGTTTCAAAGTTGATTGATATAAGTACTCAAACTATGTTTCAGTGTCAACCGTGCTAACAAATACGTTCAAGATATAAAGCTTTGACCCTAGGGATAATGCTTCCATTCTAACTTTGTTCAACTTTTTATTCGAATAACTGCCTATGTTCTTCGGAATATCGTGGAAAATACTCATTCAGTTTCTCTATAACCAATAGTTTTTTGAATGTACTTTCATAGAATTCAGATGTATTATATTTGTAAACCGTGAAAGAAGTGATTGATTGACAGACAAAAACAACGTAGAAACTGACACACAAGTACATCGACTCAACTTGTTACACTACACGGTAGTACACAAAGAACAAGTGGATAGAAAAAGAGTCATATCAAAGTAGATAAAGTTGTATGAGAGAATAAACAATTTGAAGATTACGGTTAGTACGAATAATCAAGCTTCAGAAGATGTCAAAGAGTGAACACATCTGCTGCGTTGTCACCAATAGTCCTCAATCATGGATTCCTTTTGTCTTGGGACTCCAACCAGGCAGTCTACATCTCCCCACATAACTCAGAGCAATAGTCAGTGACTTCATCGACTGGTGCCACGTCTTTGGTCTGGCAACCCTGAAACCCTTTTCCAACATAATCCAACTTCCTCACACCCCTTGGACGTCGAGGTAGGTGGTGGCTCGTTCAGTATGCGCAGTACATGTCCAAGCCATCTAAGTCGATGAAGGTTCACAACCTCACCAATCGATCTGCCTGTCTTGCCTAGTACCCTTCACATGACCCTAAACATTACTTATACGGTGATTCCACCAAACATGAAGAATGCTGTGAAGATATCTACTATTAAAACCCAGTAATCGCTTCATGTCTTCTACTTTTAACGTCCACAGCCTCGTTCGAGCTGAGAATTCGTCCGCAGCCAGCCTATTCGGGCTGATGCGACTCTTCAGGTACGTGAAGGGATCGGTGCATTCCACCACTTCACTCCCTATCATTAAACTAGGAGTACTTGCAGCCGACCAGTCCTGCAGCATCGTCCTACATTTGAAAGGTACCAGCGAAACCATACCGAACATAATCAGATTTCTGCTCAACGCGTTCAGGGAGACCGTGCATTGCGTCAGCATCTTCACCCAGGATGACAGTATTGTCTATATCCTCCAAGTCAACCAGATGACCTACACGGAGTAGGTCAATCCCTGTGAAGTCAGACTTACGTAAGGTAATATCTTTTAGAATGTCTATGACGAAGTTAAGGAGGAATGGTGACGGTGGACATCTTTGGTCAACACCACTAGTTGGCATCAGTTCACATGACAACTCTCCGTAAGCCCTGACACGGCTGCGTGAGTTCCAGTGAGAGCTTCGATCAGCGATATATGCTTACTTGGTACTCTCTTCACAGATAGACCACTGCTACAATACACCACGGTCGACTGAGTTGAATGCCTCCCTCAGGTTAACAAATAGGGTAGGTGTTGGTCAGTGGCCGCTATGGCTGCGTCCGAGAGCCTGTCGTAGGTTGAAAAATAAAATGGATGGACTCTCGTTACGTTCAGGTCTTAAACCCACCTTATGACACCTACCTCTGATTCCCATATAGCACTCAGCACCCACGTACCTCCATCCTTGAGAACTTCGCGTGGCAAACTGTCAAGTCCTGCTGCTTTGCATCTTTTCACACTCGATACAGCTTACTCAACTTCCATCAGATTTGGAGGACAAACATGTACGTTGTATGTAAATTTAGGCTGGATATTGGGCAGCTGAAGTTTTGCTATGGGTCAGTTGAACTATGCTTCAAAGTTTTCTGCCTAACGTCCTAGTTGTCAGTCCTGAATTGTTATGAGCGTCCCATCCTTTTTGGTGATGGTTTCACTCATCATCTTTTTCTTCTTCTCGGTATATTTAATAGGCCTAAATTATTGCCGAGTGTTACCCACCGCTGACGCCTTCTCCATCTATCTCGCTTTCATAAATTGTATTTGACAAACGAAATACAGCCTATAAAACATGATTAACTTGAACTTTAATGTTAAAATGTGCTTCGATGATGACTGGATATGCGATTTGGTGATGTGATACAGATTCTTTTAAGTAAGATTAGGTTGAGTTGGTCTGACCATTTGAGCAATTGACATAAAAAGCGATCTGTTTGCATACAAAGCTCCTACTACTTGTTTTTCTATGATTATCCCCCCTATTATACAACACAACTTCACTAATTAAGTTGGCAACTTGATATATTTTACAGCGAGAAGATTAAAGTATGTTGAATATGACAACTTTTATGATTTTTAGTGGAATTTAGGAGCGGTAACAAGCCTTAAAATCAGATGTCCACACTTTATTCGATGTTTATCTTTTATTACATTTTTCTATTACACAAATATGTCTTCTCACTTTTCTAACTTAACTACAACAGAGTAGGCAATGCAATACTATGGAGAATAAAAGCAGAGGGATATAATAGTTAAGAAATTCTCACACAAAGGAATTTTAGCGTTTGTTACGCTTGTGAGCACTGAACGTTGCTTGATATCTACTGCGTTCAACTAAGATATGACGTGGTGTCACCACGTCAGTAGTGCAGAAGTCAGGCGTAGAGTTTTAAGGAGGAGAGGAACGTCAGTTAGTAAGATCGTGAGTCTTCATCGACTGAGATGGTTCGCACATATGTTACGCATGCCTGATCACCGCCTGTCTCGTCGCGTAATGTTAGCTGAAGTATTTACAAGTAGGAAGAATGTTAGGGGTGGCCAGAACAAAACATGAGATCACTACTAGAACCCCCTTGAATGTTGGTTTCATCCACGAGAGAAGATTTATAGTAGCCTTTTGAGGTACACATGATAACAGAAACCAGCGGTTGGAGATTGTAGATGGTGTAGCTCGGATTTATTCACACTTTATCTTCATCTTAACCGCCATATTGGATCTAGCATTTTCTAATTCCTTCTTCCTCTCTTTTACTAGTTTCTACTGAATTTGACCGATTTTCCTTTCTTTATCTTTTATCTGACTACTTTGTTATGCTGATATGAGGATGTGTCAAGTTGGAGCGTTGTGCAGCAATGGCTGGTTTTATGTTGATTGATTAAACGAGTATAACCGAACCGTAGTATATATATCCCCCTTTGGACTAATTGATGAATTGGAAGTAAATGAATTCATGCTGTATTTCTCTTTCAGTAATTTCTCACTTTATTTTATCTTTTTTTATAGTTACCATAGACCATGAAGAATTTTTTTTCCCCGCATCAAATAAACTTTGAAATATCTGTTTTGAATTCTACTTTATACAGGCATATTTTATGTAGCCACATTTTTGTGTAGGCAAACTATGAATTCTGGATTTTTATTTTTGCTAACGAATAGAATCCGAATTTGTTTTTATTTATCAAATCAGAAAACCCCTCATTATTTGTATATAAGCTGTCTACTTTTAAATAGTATTTCATGTTAAGTTTATGATTTTAGGTAGCTAACCTCAACACTTTGTACAGTTTATCTAATCACTGTGATGATATTAGTTTGTTGGAAATACAATTGAAAAATTCAGTGTTAACCTTTTCTCTCTCTGTTCAGAAAACTTTATCATGCGTCTTACGCACATAAGCCTAAAACTGTTGGATAATGCACTTGTTCTCGTATTCCAAATAACTTAGACAATATAAGTATCTTGAATATTCCCAGTAATAAAAAATCACTGTTATAAAAGCAAATACACAGAATTTCATGAATACTATTCAACAGATTTTCCAATCTGTATGCCTGTATATTGATCTTGGTGACTAGTAGAAAAATCCAGGAAGCACGTTCCGTCCTATTTTGGACTTATCAGCTGGATGTACTTGCACCCCATTGAGTGATGTTATCCCACTGAGGTTCAAAACCCAGTACCCATTACTTCGAACGTCAGAGCGTTATCCAGTGACTTAGTGATATAAACCATTGTTGAAGGATGGCAATTCATCTGGAGCACCTATTTGAACTCTAATCAAGCATTATTATAGGTATGTGTATGTTCGCTCCACACTGGTATAAAAACAGCTGTAAAGACCGTTTTCAACCTACATTTAAAGGTTAGCAAACGTCATTGGATTTTCGTGACGTCATCCGAACTGATTGATGTATGAAGACTCATCCCATCAGGCTCTGATCATAATGAAGAGCGAAAGCAACTTAAACGTAGACTGACCAAGAGTCTTTGCAATGATCGTGAGCAGTGGCGGTCGGTGAAAGTCATAGAGATGGAGAAAGCATCAGCGATAAGTAGCATCTTGCAACTATTTAGACTTATACCAATAAGAAGAAGACGATGGTTAGTGAACCCGTCACTGTAAAGGATTGGACGCTCAGGCGTCTAGAACGTTGTATGGAACACTGTAGCCCAGTTCAACTGGCGTCCACCAACTCTTCAGTTGCCCAACATCCAGTCTGAACTTGAATGGAGCTTAGATGTCCGTACTCTAGCTCTAATCGAAATTGAGAAGGGTGTATCGAAACTGAAACAATCCGAAGCAGCTGGATCTGGAGATTTACCAACATAAGTTTACTAAAGGCGTGGTAAACTACTGATTAAAGTAACGGAGGTACTAGGTAGCGTATGGGAATCAGAGGTAGTCTGATCTCCTTCACTGATCACCTCAGTGAATCAGTCTGACTAGCATCGTGTACAAGTTCCTAGGGTTCTTAGTGATCATACTCCTACCTAGGGTTGAGAATTCCAAACTGAAGGAAACTCGGCTGGTTTCAGACACGGACGAGGCTGCATCGATCAGAGCTTCACCCTTCGAAGGTCTTGGAACACAGATATACTTACTGGTGGCCGACACTTGTCATATTTATTGACCTGAAGGCTGTATTCCACTTTTTCGACTTAGAATTGTTGTAACAGTGTCTGACTATGAAGAGAGTATCGATTAAAAAGATTGTGTTAGTCATGCTCTCACTGAAGGCAACTTTAGTGAGTGGTTAACGGAGTCTCCTATGTAACAGAAATGCATAACTGACCAATGAAATCTGAGTTTGTTGTTTTCTTGAGACATGTAATCCAGTCATCTTATTATGCGAGCTATAGAACATTCAGTTGCTCCGCTCAATAAATTAAAATTAGCACAGTCAGTATTAACATGTGACCTGACATTACTACACAAACGTCAAATCAATTTAGCTTTCCATCAGCATCTTAAGGTTATAGACAGGATAGATACTGAGAAAGAGAAAAAAGTACTCGCACGTAGTATAAATTCATACGCAGGAGTAAGAAAATGTGATTTGACTATTAAGATGCATGCATCTGAGAAACAATGAGTCGTACCGCTCGGGTTTCTAATAACCAACTTCAATTGTCACCTGGACTGTGACCAGAAAGACTATAGTCCTGTGTATATATCAGACCGAAAGCCTGAGGCCCCATGATCTTATGCCATATTCTAGTCTGGCTGCTTTTGACCTTTTCCTAGACTAAAGCTACTTCAGTCAACATCATACGATAGCGTATACGGTGACCAATCATATGTAACACAAGTCTCAGGAACTAACTTAAACATTAATGAAGTAAATTTTTTGACATACGACCTATGCTACAAAGGCAACAGTGCTCAGACGCCTGAAGCCTTTTCATGTCCACCACCTTTAATGGACATGTTTCACAGCAAAAGTAGAAAAAGGCGAGCTGCCTAGCGCTAGACTCAGCTTTTAGTAGCCAATTAGATATCACGTCGGCAACATTGATGGAGTAAGATGGTTGAAGTCAATCCGGCTTCCTGTGTGTGTATACAGATTTCGTCGCTCACTGGAGTTGACCCGACTTCGCGAGGAAGTACATTAGTTGTCACACCTTAGGAGGGATCCTGGTTCATTTTGAAGACTTCAGCGATCAATCAAACAAATCAAAGAATATCATATCTGATTTCCATGCGCTAGCTAACCCTTCAGTCAATCTAACCAATGATACACAAAAATCTTTTCCTGTTCTTTAAAACAGCCGGTATCTTTGAACGTTCCATGTAAGGCTGTATGCAACTGAAGAAAATCCTATGAAATAAATTACCTTATCTCATTTCGTTAACATTGTTCTCATTGCGTTATTCAAGTTCATAAAGAGGAGTAAATATATGAAGTTTCTTCAACAAAAACTCCTTACCTAGTCAGTCGAGTCGCTGAATAGTCTAGTGACGATTCGATGCAGAACAGCGAGAGAAGTGGCTAGGCTGACGTTTTATAAGAATTGTGTCAAAACTTTCTGTTTTCCATATTACGTTCAAACAAAAATCCTCGACGTGTAAACTAATCTTACCATTGACTCAACCAAGACCACGATAACCGGTTTACAATCAAAATCGAATTAATTTGAATTAAGTACTGTCTGTCGAGTGAAGTTCATTAATTTCATCCAAGATGTCTAGTTAAAAACAAATGAAAGAATTTCAAAATTGCTACAAAATTCTTTGGTCAAAGACCAACTCTATAGGAAGTTTCCAGAAAAATACATTTGTAATTTGTCAAATGATAAGTTAAACCAGCTCAAAAATGAAGCTATTCCCCTGGATATCAAATTTATATCTCAAAGAAGGGCTTTAGCAGAGTGGATACTGAAACCCATTATTAGGATATGTTCAAGTGGTTGATCGATCTAAACTTGTCGACTATCATTATTTTTCCCTTGGGTTTCTAGTGGAACATAGAGTTTCAGTAGTATGTCTCCAGTGCACTCTGTTCTCTGCAAACGTCTGAACCTGTCTCCACGACTCCCCAGAAGCTTTCATTTCTTCCTCACACGATCTCCTCCATGTCACCCTCGGCACTGACGCCCAACTCTTCGTTTCCCGTCTGGGTTCCACTCGGGGACCTGGCCTGACGCGTGATATCCCCAGTCGGCGTTCTCAGTGTATGTCCAATCCAATCCATCTCCACTTTCTTCCGCATGTTTGTTGGGTGATAGGTTGTTGGTTGGTTCGTTACCAGCCAACCGGAGTTCCTTGTTGCTTATTGTTTCTGGCCATCTGATCTTCAGCATCGTGTCAGCGTAGGCAGCTGTCGATGAATGTCTGTAGTTTGTTGGGAGTGCTTCTCATGACAAGCCAAGTCTCTGAACCATATTAGCAGCACTGACTTGATATTGGTGTTGAAAATCCGGGTCTTGTTGTTTGTGCTGAGTGGAGTGCAGTAGATCTCCACACTGGTTTCAGGTTAATGAAAGCCTATCTTATTGTCTTTCCTATCCTGGCTTTGACGTCCTCATCTGTGTCTATGCCGCCTGTAGTTGAAACGATGCTGCCTGGGTAGGTAGGTAGGTGAAAGAGACTACTTCCTTTAGGTTTCTCCCGTTGATGGTGACTGCAGTTTGTTGTTGCTGTTGTTGGTGGCGGTTGGATATCTTCATCACCTCTGTCTTCTCTACATTCACTTGAAGTCCTGTCTCCGCCGCCCCACTTCTTCTGTCAACTTGTTAGTTTTCGCCTGTAGATCTTCGAGTTTGTGCCACAAGACAGACATGAATCATCGTCATCCGGCGGAATCCTAATCTTCTGGGGTCTTTTCATCGGTCCAGCCAGCGCATGCCCCCTCCTCACAGTTTGTTGCATGACCCACCCAGTCCAGTGCAGTCGAGTCGACCACAATCAGGAAGATCATCTGTGATAGTAGGTGGCAGCCTTGTCTTACTCCTGTCTTCACTTCAAAGGTGTCACTGAGATTTCCATTGTAAATCACTTGGCATGTAGCACCATATAGTATATAGCTGTTGAACAAGGTTGATAAAAGTTTGTGGCACTAAAACCGTAACGTTGAAGCAGCCGCCTGCCAAATTACTTTTCAGTCGGCGCTGTCGAAGGCCTTCTTAAAGTCGATGAAGTTGAGGTAGAGAGTTGACTGCCATTCTATACTCTGTTCTATGATGATGATGTGTAGAGTTGCGTTGCAATTTGGTCCGCATATGATTTGTACTTCCTGAACCCAGCCAGCCAGCCAGCCTGTTCTGGTCATAGTTTTGAATCGAGAGCACTTTTTAGTCTCTCCAGTATGATGTGGCATAATATTTTGCTTGGGGTGGACAGGAGTGGAGCATGATTCCTTGCCAGTTCTTGCAAACACTTAGGTCTCCCTTCTTTGGGAGTTTGACTAATATTCTGCTCGAAATCCTAGGACTCATAGTTATTCGACGCCTAACTGAATCTCAGGAACAGCAAACTCGAGAAAACCCGGCAGATTTCAGACCTGGACGGACGAGGGTGCATGAGTCGTATTTTCACCTCACGACAGGTCTCGGAATACAGGCATACCCACTGGCTGACACTTGACATATTTATTGACCTGAAGGCTCTATTCACACGGCTGCCATGTTGTAGCGGTGCATGACTGTGAAAAATGTGCCTAGCCGATGTATGTGACGTTAATCGAAGCTCTCTACTCGAACTCACGCAGCCTTCTCAGGGCTTATGGATCTGAAGTGAGGACAACTAGTGGTCATCCAGGCATGCCTACTGTCACCGTTTCTAGTTAATTTAATCATAGACGTACTAATGGACGTGACATTAGGTACCTGTGACTTCAGAAGGATTGATCTACACCTTGGCGACATGGTTGAAATCCGAATACAGTGGCGAGGATGTACCCACTCCTCAGTTTCTTCTAAGGCTTGAATGTCTTCACTAGCATCGACTTCCCTCTCCCTCCGTTTAGCTTTGTCTATTTTGATATGTATTTCCTATCTACTCACTTGTATACTACTGTGAAGTGGGACAACTTGAACCTGTGCACTTATGTTCGAGGTTCTACGTTAACTTTTACTGTCTTTTGCAACTGAGTGGTAGACTTGCAAAGGTTTTAGTAACTACTGCCCTTATTGTTGTACCTTCTTCATTCAGTCTAGTTAACTGACTACCGTTACCCAACTCTGCTTCTTATTCCGTTTCAACGTTCCCTATCCATCACTGCTCGTAACTTGAGTGGACATTTTTTAAGTCTGTCACTGACCGTGTTCGAAAGTAAGTTAGTCTTTAACACCTTTATCACAAATGGCTAGAAATCAAAAAAGGTTGTCTCGAAATGAGTGACTTTGTAAAACAGTGCTATCAATTTTTTTGTTAATGGCAGCCTTAGTATTCTAGGAACGAGTTCTCAGAAGTGGTGCTCTTACTAAGACTTATATACTTACATAACTGTACTATAACCAACATGTGGTCACTCTACGCAGAAATCGTTCAATGCACTTACCCAGCTAAGACTGTTCGATGTGTCATTTGTTTCTATAGGCATCATGTCAAATAACTGGGTTCCATGATGACTAGAAATGGGTGGTGATCTCAGCACATCATCTTTCAACATGGGACCAGGGATTACTGCGTAACGGTCCGAGCTACCACACCTCATATCACTACATCAAGTAAAAAGGTAGTGAGGTGAAAGATGAAGATAAGAGAATGCAGTCAAAAGAAATGTAAACTACGAGAAGAAAGGAAAGAGGAATGACAAAATGGTGAGATTCGGTATAGCATCGTTAAGATGACGATTATGTGTGTATACATCTGCACCACTGACATCAGTTCTGAGCTATATCACCCACAGCCAGTCTCCAACTATTGGTTCCTCTTGTCCCGCCGACCCCAACCACCTAGTCTGCATCGCCCCACATGGCTCAAACCAACAGTCAGAGACTTCTTACAATGGTGCCATGTTTTAGTCTGGCCACCTCGGACCTTTCTCCAGCCTTAACCTACTTCAGCCAACACTGTGTGAAGAGGCAATCGGTGACTAGGTATAAGTAACACATGTCTCAACCATCTCAGTCGATCAAGGTTCACAACCGTGTCAACTGACTTACCTCTTCTCCCTGAAACTCTACACCTGACTTCTGAGTTACTCACATGGTGACACCATGGAATACGGCCTATACTACGAAGGCAACAGTGATCAAACACCTGAAGCCTTCTCATGTCTTCCACCTTCAATGGCCATGTTTCACAGCCACACATTAGTAGAACACACCGGACTGCTGTGCAGTATACACGACCCTTAATAGACAAACGGATATCACGGTGGCGCCGCAGGTGACGTAATTTGGCGAAAGCCAATTGAGCCTTTAGTATCTGTGCAGAGATTTCATCGGACACTGATCCACCAGGGCTGATCCCACTTCCCAGGTAAGTGAAGTGGTCAACACACTCAATCACTACATTCTCTATTGTTAGCCGTGGTGGGGCACCATTGAAGACTAGTCCTGGAGGAGCAATTTGCATTTGGGTGGTGAGAAACGCATTCCAAACATTCTCAGATTCCCCCTCAAAGTGTTCGGAACACTGTATCTTGTTGGCGTCTTCCCTAACAGGACAATGTCATCTGCATATTCTAGGTCTAACGAAAATTCTCCTGTGATTGGGTCAACGTCTGTGTAATCAGGTGACGAGAGGGAGAAGTCCATGAGAATATCTGTGATAAAATTGGATAAGAATGGAGACAGTGGGCACCCTTGACGGACACCACTCGATGAGCATAGCTCCCTGGATATCTCACCATAGGCTCTAACACGCCCACCAGTGAGAGACATTGCCATAAGACTTCCCGATCAACAGAGTCGAATGCCGCCTTCAGGTCGAGAAATACAAGTGTCGGGAGCTGGTTCTCAATGAGCCGTTCAACGCAGAGGCAACTATCAAGTGGGATCCAGTTTAGTAGTGAGCTTTCTGTCCTAGTGCTTAATGCTATGCCTACACCTGCAAGACCGCGAGAGCTAGCTTTCGAATCTCCAGAAACTTGATGGGTGAATTTCACGAACTCACCAGATTGGCCGAGAAAGGTCAGGTGAATAACCACACATTGGGTCCTGTGTGCAAGACTCAAAAACACAGCATACATCCATGGCCCGAGTAGCTACAGTCTTTGCCAAGGAAGCCTATTGACCAATTTGACAGAGGATGAGGACATTGAAGGCTCCAATATGTAATTTTGAGCGTGGTTCGAGAAGACCAGGGATGCTGTTCTATGATTCAGATCGGTGTCGAAGGCTGTAAAGATAGGAGAAATTGAAGATGATGTAGTACCGTTAATTGAGAGACGTGAAGGAAGAGTAGGAGCTAATAATGAGGGAGGTGGATACCAGTCTGAAGAAACTTGAGTGCTGACCCAGTTGTGAGGGCGGTTGACACTTCCTAAGGTACCTGAAAGAGATTTGTGCGACCGAAAAGCCCATCGGACATCTGCTTGAGGCCTGTCACACGTAGCCTTTTGAGTATGATTATTTTGAACTTTTGTGTTTTGGGGGCCGGATTATCAAAAAGAAACGATAAATGAACCAACACTGTCGGCTCGGCAGACCGTGGGGTGTGCTATTTTTGTGGCCGACCTTTTCTAACCCCCTTCCACTGAGAACGCAAGATCAGCATGCCACTGCTGGTCATCCAAGGGGAACACCTTACTGCTGTCGCATCCCAACCAGCTAGCAGCAGTACAACTTCCCCCCCCAGATCCTCATCATAGTGTAGTAATCTACACCACAAATGTAACTGGTTTTCGTCTAACCAGTATCCAACAGACCTTTTTGGTATGGTAGGACCTCGAAGGAACAAGCGCCTGACCAGCACAGCTAGTTGGGTGATGGTGATATGCAAGCCCGACCACCAAGTCAAGGTAGTAGCTATCGGTCAGTACAATTGCAGTTGGTGGTCAATATCATTTGTTTGGCTGGAAATACCAGTCTTTTTATATGACCTAACTATCCCACTTGTGTATCGAAATTGCCTGCCGCAACTACATGTCATCTTTTGGCTTTCCGCTGGGGCTAAAACGTTACGGTAGAAGTCATTTTTCACTTCTTCAGAACTGTAATCAGTAGGTGCGTGGGCGGAGATTATAAAGAGACGATGAGTCTCACTATTCTTCATAGTCTTCAATGTACCAGTGAGTCAAACGGCAAATAAGTGACTACCAACTAAGGTCCAGTTGACCAGTGCACTCTCTGCCTAAGGAATTGGCGCTACACACCTATAGAACTGTAAGAAATAGTTACGAATCTCCAAGAGCTCAAAGAAAGAATTCGTCGGGCCCGAGGTTAGTCGGATAAACACACTTTGGTTCAGTATGCATCCGCCATAAACACGTCCGTGTACCGAGATGCTATTGTTTTGAGTAGCGAAGATTGTTGTCCGACGTGACATATGGTGCGGACATTGAAAGTTACAGTACGTAATTTCGAGCGCGGTTGTAAAAGATCATGGACGCTGCTTTGTAAACTCAAGGGCTGAAAATCGGCAATATGACATGAAAATATTGACAGCAGAATATGAAAAGAGAGAAGGCAATAGTGTAAGAGGTACATAAAGACCACAGGGAATTGAGTAATGACAGAGGCTGATACTTCACGACTGTTCAAATCGCAAAGCTCAAAGGGTACCTTCGGGCAGATTGTGTACGATTTTCTCAGGATTGTTGGGTTGATTTGATTGTGCTAACGCATGTCTAAAACACCCATAACGCCAGGCAGGGAGGAGTTAGATGTTTCTGAGGCTGACCCTTTCTAACCTATCACCCTCCCATAGAGGAAGTAGCATCAGCGTGATACCGCTGGCATCCCACGGGAAACACACCTTACAGCTATCACACCCCTCCCAGTCAATAGTACACCTTAGCTCTCTGACCCCCATTAGCTGTTAACATTACGACGGTTACTGTTTTAAGTCTCACCACTGTCCAACACACCTTTGTTGCGTAGTGGGTTTTCAGTGTAGCTTTCTGGGTAGTGATATATGCAAGCCCGACCACCACGTTTAATTATGACCTATCAATCAGGCACTGGCATCACAATACAAACGCTGCGAAGTGTGACGTCAAAATCGAATAACTAGATGTTTGGTTGATTTTGACTTCATTTCGGTATCGAGCTTTTCTGTTTTGAAACTATTTTTGTGTGAAAAACAAAAAAACATGCCACTCCAAGCTATACTCCTTAGGAGTAATCCAGATAGACATGATTAAGTATCACAGTTTTATAAAGTTTATTCGATGACATAAACCAATTTAACAAAATATTAGCTTCGCCATTGTTTTTACAAATGAATCGTGATAAGCAGATGGTTGCAACTGTTTAGAATAGGATGAAAAGCTCATGCAATAAAACGTTCACATGAACTAATATCCTGTTACGAATTATGGGAGTTTTAATGGTCTGCAAGGCTTTTTGAACTTCCATTGGTTGTGGTTGTCGTTTCGGTATTAGCTGAAGGTTGGTCGCACGAATCCATGGATTCCTTCTTCACACAACGAGGTCCATACAGTAGGAAATATGCACAGTGCCAATCACCACCTCCAGACAAGCGTAAGATGTCATCTGAAGTTACCTGGCTTACAACGTCATCATCGAGTTTGAACCACATGCCTGCAAGGATGCAAACAGATTATAAGTAGGCGAGTAATGAGTTAAAACCTAAACCAGGAAGAAATGTTGACGTCAAATTCAGAAACAAGACTACACATTTGGCATTTAAAGTATCTATTGGTCTTATGGTACTACAAAATAGTTTGAGGGCAGCTTACACGTCAGCTGATCTGGTAAGGACTATATATCTGATTAAAACCGACCTTCCCCACACCGACATTCGTATTCGTAATTAATAGCGAAATGTTATGGAAAGCTCATTTATGGCGCTTTGTATGGATGCAAAGAAGGACTAAATTTGATGATCAAATTTTTGTATACATTTATATGATGTAGCTGTTAGAATAAAGGACCAATCAACTCGTTGGAATACCTGGTGCTAGATTTGAACATTCCTTTAAAGATAATGCGCCCAATTACGGAGAAATCACAAGATTGAAAGGGTTGACCCGCTGAGGATTGTGACACCAAGGCGTGGCAATTTCATAAAGTATCTGACTGTTGGTCCGAGCCATATAAGATGTTGGCTTGTGTAGCCAAGGTTCTCAAAACATCAAAAATGAAGTAGTCCAAGACAAACCACAATAGCGTATATACATGCAAATTTTTGAACACTTCTTTTGACGAATACTTATTTCTCTCTACATAAGCCTCGATCATACTTCATATCATTCTGATTAAGGTCACTTACTGTTCTCACACTGACGTTCACTGTGGTAAGTATATATGGTGCACTTCTGTGCAACATTTCAAAACAAAAATACCAGTACTAATAATATATAAGGGTTATACGGTTTTACAACCTTTTTCTCTATCTGATTTAAGTTGACTTTTGATAACTACCTGTAAGCATACAACTGATGACTTCACTAGTCCTGATGGAAGGAAAATCCTTGTTACTCAGCTGGGCTCGACAGCTGTCTTTGTTTTGCCTCACAAAGAGGGGCAATGGGTCGCCAACATAAATTTCTTAATACATGCATGTCTCTGCCGAAAACAGCGTTGGAGATGACGCACACATGGAGGATATCAGGCAGGTTTCAAGCCTGTTTTATAGTCTCAGTTATTCAATCGTTAACTAAGTATTGCATCACACTATATAAAGTTGAGGTTTTCATATAGACAAGCGCGATTTCAATGTATGCGACTACTACAAATTTGATAGTTCTCACTGAACTACAACTTCAGTGATTCATCAGACTAGGCACATAACTACAAAGTTAGAGTTTGAACTAAGACTTGACTATCAAAGTTTCCGTAAGTTACAGTTTTACACCCATCTCTGACCTTTTGTGTTGAATATTATTTGGCACACTTAGAAGCTCTCGGATGTGAATAAGACGCTGAGTTGATAAAAGCTAAATATAATTTTAGTAAGACTATAGTATTGTATTTTTGACTTATATCAATTATTTCGGATAAATAATGAAGAAAACTTAGTGTATCTTAGTATGTCACTGGTTGGGATGTAACTTTATGAACTAAGCATTTAACTTTCAGGCATTTATTCAGAAGCTTGAAACCCGCTCTAACTACGTCTAAATGAGTAATTTTCCGTAAGTTGTCACTATTGGGGATGTTAGATACCCCAAATGAAGGATTCAATCTTTAAATGAATGCATTTTGTTAAATAAAATTTCATCTCTTCCGTGCTTTTTTAAGTCAAAGAGGATCATTCACCGCTTTCTTTCAAATAAGCGAATTTCATATTCGTCATTCTTCTCCGTTAATATGCTGGCTAACTTGTACGTTTGCTTTAACCGCGTTCCTATTGTATATAAACCCATGAACTGGCTTTTCAGTTTAATATCATCTTCTGCATTAACCGACTAAGTGGTGAAGCGTTATATTTCGTTCAGTCTGTATCTAGATAAAGTGTCCATAGCTTACCAAGTCTGCCAATCTCACCACACAAAGAATATAACTCATAGCCTAACACATTATCATATACTTGGTTGCAGTTTTTTTATTAACTATATTACTACTTAATGCAATTGCTTGTCATAAACTCACCTTGTATTTTCACCCAGGCAACATAATGTCCACTCGTACTTGTCCTGCCCTGATGACTCAGAACCCCTTGAAGTTCATAATATCCAGAATTATTAGAACCGGGATCATCAAGAAACCAATAAGGCTCATATAAACTAGGATTGTGAAATGGATCAGGCTGTTTGGTATCTATAGATAAACATTTCAAAAGTGTCTCATATTTAGAAAGATGCCATTGTTTACAAAAGTCACATTCATGAGATTTACGCAGACTAGACTTTTACACTTTTAGCAAAATGAGAAAATTGTGGCGCACAAAGCAGATCTGCTTGGTTTCCCAGAGAAAAAGGATAGGAGTTTGGGAGACGAGACTGACAATAAAAACTCGCGAGTTCAGTAACATAATTTTCGTCACACGCCAACAGTAAGGATACAATTCAGTTTACACATACTTCATCAGATGGAGGATTTACAGGCATAGAAATAGGAAACGACAACCATCGACTTTTCCTTTCAAATGCGGAAACCTGTCATTTTGTCTCAAATAAGAGAACACGACGAAGCTGACGCAACGGCACCGAGTTAACAATCGCAAAGCATGAGTACGGCATGAAAATATAGGTAATATGTAGCAGGGTACCACTTAACTGGACATCACACGAAGAAATAACGCGTGAATCAACATAGTTTCAGCCTAACTGTTACGGCTTGGATACTAGATGATATGACGGACGAATTCCATCCACAACCGCAAGAAGTATCAGAACAAATGACTATATGGAAAAAAGAATCTAAGGAAGTTGCTAGAAATGGCATAGAATTTGTGTAACCCAAGTGGGTGGGCTGCATTTTCTGAGTTGCGTTGTTTATTATGAAGCTTTCATTGTCTTTCTAGACAATGTCATAAATAACAACTTCAATATGGTGTAGGCCATCAGTATTTTTCCGTGAGTGATTTAGAACCTTGCCTTGACGAAATGATTCATTGCTTCCTTCGATTGTTGTCACTGATTGCATAGGTTTTCTTGTCGGTTGTTTCCCTGCCTGACTCTGTAGACTTCCTTATTGGTTGATAAACTAGTTTAATGTCTAGAAATCCCTTGATTGCTGAATGCCGAGTTGCTGAAAGCTGGGAAAGCAGCAGGACCAGATGGAATTCCTCCGGAAGAACTGAAAACAGACATGCTCACACCACTATTGCAGAAAGTTTTGAAGGAAGGAAAGAAAGGTACATGCAGATTGGAAGGGCTACCTTGTTAAACTACCAAAGAAGGACGACCCAAGCTTTTGCAAGAACTGGCAAGGAATCATGCTCCACTCCTGTCCACCCCAAGCAAAATATTATGCCACATCATACTGGAGAGACTAAAAAGTGCTCTCGATTCAAAACTATGACCAGAACAGGCTGGCTGGCTGGCTGGGTTCAGGAAGTACAAATCATATGCGGACCAAATTGCAACGCAACTCTACACATCATCATCATAGAACAGAGTATAGAATGGCAGTCAACTCTCTACCTCAACTTCATCGACTTTAAGAAGGCCTTCGACAGCGCCGACTGAAAAGTAATTTGGCAGGCGGCTGCTTCAACGTTACGGTTTTAGTGCCACAAACTTTTATCAACCTTGTTCAACAGCTATATACTATATGGTGCTACATGCCAAGTGATTTACAATGGAAATCTCAGTGACACCTTTGAAGTGAAGACAGGAGTAAGACAAGGCTGCCACCTACTATCACAGATGATCTTCCTGATTGTGGTCGACTCGACTGCACTGGACTGGGTGGGTCATGCAACAAACTGTGAGGAGGGGGCATGCGCTGGCTGGACCGATGAAAAGACCCCAGAAGATTAGGATTCCGCCGGATGACGATGATTCATGTCTGTCTTGTGGCACAAACTCGAAGATCTACAGGCGAAAACTAACAAGTTGACAGAAGAAGTGGGGCGGCGGAGACAGGACTTCAAGTGAATGTAGAGAAGACAGAGGTGATGAAGATATCCAACCGCCACCAACAACAGCAACAACAAACTGCAGTCACCATCAACGGGAGAAACCTAAAGGAAGTAGTCTCTTTCACCTACCTACCTACCCAGGCAGCATCGTTTCAACTACAGGCGGCATAGACACAGATGA